GTTACTCAGAACGAGAATCACTGTATTTTTACAATCCAATTCCTAGTCGTTGTTTTGTACTAAAAAGGATGTAGGGGGCGGGTTGGTGACGTCATTATAACAACAAGTGTCTTTATAAGTCTTTGCATCACAGCGCCTACCATGTCATGATTGTCATGATTGCCATGATTGCCTCTCTACCTACTACACTGTTTTCTAATGCAAAAAGTTGTGGGTTTTTTTTTTTTTTTTTTTTTTTTCTAGGTCCGATAGTTCAATCGGTGAACAGACAAAACATTTTCATTATCGGACATCTACCGCAGCGCCGTTTTCCCTAAATAATTTTTTTTTTTTTTATAATTTTTTTGTTTTTTTTTTTTTTTTTTTTTTTTTGCTAGGTCCGATAGTTCAATCGGTGAACAGACAAGACATTTTCATTATCGGACATCTACCGCAGCGCCGTTTTCCCTAAATAACTCTTTGCGCATCATCATCTCTTTGTACATCATTATCTCTTTGTACATCATTATCTCTTTGTACATCATCATCTCTTTGTACATCATTATCTCTTTTTACATCATCATCTCTTTGTACATCATCATCTCTTTGTACATCATTATCTCTATGTACATCATCATCTCTTTGTACATCATCATCTCTTTTTACATCATCATCTCTTTGTACATCATCATCTCTTTGTACATTATTATCTCTTTGTACATCATCATCTCTTTGTACCTCTTTATCTCTTTGTACATCATCATCTCTTTGTACATCATCATCTCTTTGTGCATCATTATCTCTTTGTACCTCTTTATCTCTTTGTACATCATCATCTCTTTGTACATCATCATCTCTTTGTACCTCTCTATCTCTTTGTACATCATTATCTCTTTGAACACCATCATCTTTTGTACTTCTTTATCGCTTTGTACATCACCATCTCTTTGTACATCATTATCTCTTTGTACCTCTTTATCCCTAGGTCACGTGGCGCCGTGTGGGAGAAAACCACTTCCTGTCCGTGGGGGGCCATGTGTGGGTGAAGGACACTAACCTTCACCTGCATTACAACGAGCTGACCCCAGAGGTCACGGAGTGGAACCTGATCATCAAGAACGTCACACCTGAGCACGCCGGCACGTACGAGTGTAAAATAACAGACCAGGTCATACTTGTCAGATACATCGAACTGGAGGTTGTAGGTGAGACGGGTTGACAATCTATGTATTTATTTTTAATCATCCATCCCTGTGACACTACAGCCCATGTAGGGCTTCGGCCAGCCTCACCACTTCCTTCCACTCAGACCTAACTGGTGCTTTTCTATTCCATGCTTGGACTCCCAGCTGCAGTAGATCTTTATTTCCACATCATCCATCCATCTAAGCCTAGGTCTGCATTTGAGCCGTTTTCCTCTGGGGTTTTGGTGGTGCATCTTCTTCTCTTCTTCTTTTTTATTTCTGCTACTAGCGTGGGTCCTCCTATAATCTATACAATTCCTAAATGTGTTCGTATTCTCCATCCATATTCATCCTTTGTTGGTCCGTAAACTTTACGGAGAACTTTCTCTCCCATGTGTGTAATAGGTTTTCTGCCGTTTTTATGTTGTAATTTTTTTTCTTATTGCTCCATAATAAACTGTAATTAGTATCTAGAAGAATGTATAAACAAAGACGGTACGCAATACGAATCATGGGAACATCTCGTCGGTCGTAAGCAAAATAGAAACTATTCTTGCTGTAGATGGCATAGTCACGACTGTGGAATAATAACGAGCTCACTTGCCAGGATATCCACTGAGATCGGCAGATGTCTTAGATATCCACTCAGATAGGCAGATGTCTTAGATATCCACTGAGATCGGCAGATGTCTTAGATACCCACTCAGATCGGCAGATGTCTTAGATATCCACTCAGATAAACAGCCCAGGGAAACCGGAATTCCCGAAGACCCCAAGCCAGCACAATAGACAAGGATCAGGGGAAAGGGGACCTAACCTTGCAGCCAGCCGAAAGAAAAGTTGTGCTACGTAGTCGTCGCGCGAACACCCGAGTCACATCACCCAGTTGAGAACATAACACTGTCCTACTCGAAGCTACTTTAAGAGGTTACATCCTCCTCGGAACCCGGAGCTGCCGTGCTTTGCTGACCCAGCGCCGGAGACAGTAGTGCACTTGCTAGCCAAGTTCCCGACACTAATGAGTGGAAGAGTTGGGAACACCCGAGGCATCCACACAGAAAGTCTGATTTACGGCTATGCCCGGCAGATGCGGCATGCATGTATATACAGTGCCTGCCGGGGCCTTAAAAGGGCCTTAGCTCGGCCCCAAAACAGAATGTAATGTTTCAGTCGGCACCACAAACTGAATGTGTCAAAAGCAACTAGAACAGTCGGTGAATAAAACGAAATAGAGAAAGATTCGCGCACATTAAATTTAAGAAGAGTAAAATGAAGTTAATGTTGAAAAGGATATTGTGAAAAAAATCATGTTATCGTCAAGATCATAGGAGAAGGACCAGAGCAATGCGTGACTTTTAGATCCCTTCCCCCCGTCACATCTCTGCTGTTGCTTCTTTCAGTCGTAGTGGATCGTTCAGTTTTGACTTAGTAGTTAGTGGGGTGTTTTTTTTAATTATTATTATTAAGTGAAACAAATTATTAAAATATAAGTTAAAACATATCAAATCATATGAGTGTTGAATCGAAGAGGATGACAGCACTCTTTGAGACTCGCGAATGCTTTGATCTATTTAGTGTAATCAAACAAAATACACTGTTCGATTGCTAGGATGCCTTCTAACGACGCGCGGTAATTAGCCATGTTTTTCCACTAAAGCTAGCGTCTGTCAAGATTTGAACCGGTCTTCAGACCAGGGTTTCTTTCAGTTATATCTCCGGGTGGGGGGTGGGGGGGTTGGGGGGCACTGGGGGGGCCCTTCCTCTGGGCCTGCTGGCATTCCCCCCCCCCCCGAAAATCTGAGATGCCCCCCGGGGGAAATGTCTGAAATAATCACTGCTTAAGACGTATTTCTAACTCCTTTTAGACCAGTGGTTCTCAACCTGTGGGTCGCGACCCCTTTGGGGGTCGCGGGACCCTTTTCCAGGGGTCGCCTAAGACCATCTAAAGACCACATATCCTTACAGCTATGAAGTAGCAACAAAAATAATCGTGTTTTCCCACATTTGATTTATTTTACCACATCTTTCTCACATCATAGCACTCCTTCAATTCATTTCGACCTTTCTCATCTTCCTCTCCAAAACGAAACACTAACGTAGTTCCTCTTCTAAATGCTTGTTTTATCTAAAGAGCGTCTCCTCAGCTCTTACCGACAGCCCGACTGTTTTCGTGGCCTCCGTAGTTAATCGTGAAATGCCAGTTCGCGTCAAATAGAACAATAGGGTCGGGAGATATCTCATGGTAATTAAACACCTCATGAATTATAGATGAATGACGAGCCGGCGGCATCGTTAATCGAATTTAATGAGCTCGCTTGTATGACGAGGACGTTAGCATGAAGATCATAGCGGTTGAACAATTTCAGTGAGAAATTTTTGAATAAAAAAATTAAAAAATGCGCGAAATGGCTAAACGCATAATTTGGCTGGCTGCGTCTGTCAATCCTATAGGGCCGCGCCATGCGAAAGCTTCGCCTGTAGTGGTGCCTTAATGCAGAACCCCACTCCTGCCAAAAAACATGTATTTATAAATAGACATGTTTTGCATGAAAAGGGCCTCTTGGCGCCGTCTGTTTCCTTTTTACTTTTTGTCTCTTATGGGATTATTTGGACTCAAAACGGGTGTCTGGGACTAGCCCTTAACTTTCATTTCATTCATTCAGTTGAAGCTGCCCCCTTGTTAAAAGTTTGAGAGAAAAACTCTATCAACACGCATCCAACATTTTGACACAACACGATGCAAAGCTCACTCAAAGTTTTGTCTGTCATCGTATTTAAAAAAAAAAAATTTTTTTTATTAAAATAAATGTCCCCAACACTTCAGAGATGTTACGGTCATGTGACTAAAATTTAAACCGTGGGGTGGTCACGAAATACAATGATGTCGTATGGATTGACGAATACAATGTTTGATACACGTATTGATACGTGCATTGCTGCAAGTAAGTGTTACGTGACAAAATGGTTGTGATGCTGATTACTGAATCATTGAAGTACAAGTTTGCAAAAACTTCCTTGCATCAACTGTTGTATGCTCCCATGGATCGTGATTTTCACAAGTGCGATGAAATTAGCGATATCGCTGCGTGCATGTCTTTTCGATTTACAAAGAACATTGACTTGATTGGCACTGCACGCTTTTGTTTACTTGCAGTAATAAAACAACTCTGAAGTTTTGAGGGAAATGTATACTTTTTAGTACATTATTAAATTGATGTGGGGTGGGGGGGTGTGATAAAGTTTTTTTGTTGTTGTTTTTTTTATTATTATTGTGTACTTTTTAGTCTTGGTATATCAGGGAGGACAACATAAGCGTATGTAATAACAAAGCCAGGGAACTCTTAAGGCAGTCAGGATATTATGATATTAAATAAGGTCTTGAAAAGCATTAGGGGAGCCTATTCAATTTTTGTACAATTTGCGGGGACAATTACAGGTTAATTCCCTTTATAAAGAAAAGCTCTGCATGGGCAATCCAAAAGCTTATAATCTAATCCTTCACTCTCATATTAAGGATTCGTTTTAATGATCAAATCATGATAACGAAAAAAAAATGTACTGCATTTTTTTTAAAAATTATTTACAGCTTTATTTTTGTTATTTGCATTTTTTTTCAGGCCCACCACTGGTTGAAACAGGTAAGACAGGAATGAGCTAAAGGAATTGAATTAAAGTAATTTAATCATGTTTTTTTTTTACATTCTATATTTTAAATATCTAAAGTCATTTCTTTTTTATTTTATTTATTATTATCGTTATTGACAAGTGATGTGCACGCGATATTTATAGGGTCCGTGCGAATTCGCTGCCATACAATTTTTAATGTGAACTCCGCAGCGACCAGGCCTCCCATCGCCATATCGGGCAAGAACTACGTGGAGATGGGCCACGCCATCACGATCTTCTGCAACGCAACGGAGCCCCCGGGGACCCCCGTCACTATCGACTGGTTCAAAGATGGTGACACGATCGACTACATCAAATACAAGCACGTGGTCATCACCAACTACCACCTGGTGGAGACGAAGTAGGTCACGTTTGGTGAAGACAACGCGAAGACACGACCGGGACCCGGGACAGAACTGAACCCCGTTGGTGGTTTAGACTCGATCAGACGTAGTTGTGATTACATTGGACGTGATCATGACTATATTTGATGCAGTCGTGATATATTTGACGTAATCATGATATATTTGACGTAGTCATGATATATTGGACGTAGTCATGATATATTGGACGTACTCGTGATATATCGAGCATAGTCTTGGTTATATGGGACGTAGTCTTGGTTATATGGGACGTAATCTTGGATAAATTTGACGTAGGTTTGGATATATTGGACGTAGTCATGATATATCTTGGGATGAAATAACTAGTAATAGTAGAGTTAATGATACATTTTAAAACGATAGCTCTTAGCTTCATAATTGATTTTAAAACAATTTGAGATGTTATAATTGTCTGGTTAAAGTAAAGGGACAGAGGAATCGATTTAATAGTTTCTAACACCGGGGGGATTCCCCTCTTTTTGAAAATGTACATGGAAGTAACCAATACAAAAATCAAAAACAAAATTGTACCCACTCATTCGTTGTAATGGAAGGATGCGTGAACAGACAAATGACACACATGAATGAAATTTCCTGCATCTTGTAGGTGTGTTACCCGGCAGGACCATGCCAAGAAAAAGATGCACCCGGGCCGCAGCCTAAAAAGATCAATGGCCCTTTCTTTTTGCAACCCTCCCCCCCCCCCCATCCCACAATTCATCAATAAATGAGATTATAAAACTGGCAAAATTTTTACAACTATATATAAAAGTTTACAAATAGAATTTACTCCTTTGGCGCCCCCGTAAGGCGGACGGCTGAGACGTCCCAAACCCCGTTGCCCCCACCCTCCTTTTTTCGCACGGCCCTGTTCACGAGTGTTGTTTTTTTTTTTATTCCAGCGTCCTGGTCAGCGAACTGTTGATAGACAGGAGCCAGCCCAGAGACACGGGTACATACATCTGTAGGTCACCTAGAGGTCATATTGACAGCATAAAGGTCACAGTTTTATCGGGTACGTTTTACTGTGTGAGTGGACCTCTACTCACTTATTTAAATTTGTGTTCATTATTATTTATTGAATAAATAAATTTTTTGACAGTGGGGTGTTAAAACTGTCACCACATCTGCGTTACTTGACCGCAGGAGTTATTAACCCTTTGCTTACCCTGAAATCACGTGACAGTCTCATGAGATCATCCGCCAAGAGATTACACAACATTTGTACGTTAATGAAAAGGATCTTTTTAAAAAAAACCTTCATTGGACACATCGGAAATATACCTTATATATATATATCCGGGGTGTTCACAACATACGGGCTAAGACCCCTTGTTTGAAGCCTATCATTTAAACATTTAGCTGATTATTCGCTATATTGTCTATAGTTATGATATTTTTTTTAACTTAGCCATTCGTCGATGCTTTAACATTACACTACATTATAAGGACTCTCCTGGTAAGGCTAATTATTTCCATTGTTTCTCTCTTTGTCCTACAGCTGATACAAATAATGTTAAAAGAGGTAAGTCGAATTTATAGACAGTAAAAGTAAAGTAAACATAGGAAGAGTAAAAAAAAACTGTTGGTACAACTCCATTCCTGTTCAAAAAGATTTTCCTAGACTCCCAGACATAAACAATGATTAGTTTTTTTACTATTAGTTTCTATCTATCTATCTATCTATCTATCTATCTATCTATCTATCTATCTATCTATCTATCTATCTATCTATCTATCTATCTATCTATCTATCTATATATCTATATATCTATCCACCTAACTATCTATCTATCTTTCAATTCATTTATCTATCTATGTATCTATGTATCTATGTATCTATCTATCTTTCATCTTGTATCCATCTATCTATCTATCTATTTATTCCTCTGTCTATCAATCCATCTATCTATCTATCTGTCTATCTATCAATCAATCTGTATATCTAACTATCCATCCATCCATCCATCTATCCATCCATCCATCCATCTATCTTTCTGTCTATCCATCTATCTATCCGTCTATCCATCTATCCATCTATCTCTTATCTATTTCTATCTATCTATCTTTCTGTCTATCATTCCATTTATCTATCTATCTATCTATCTATCTTTCATCTACCTATCTTTTATCTAGCTTTCTGTCTATCCATCTCTCTATCTGTCTATCTATCTATCCATCTATCTATCTTATGTCTATCTATCTATTATCTATACATCTATCCACCTATCCACCTATCTATCTATCTATCTATCTATCTATCTATCTATCTATCTATCTATCTATCT